GCTGCGGCAGCTTTGGCCTTGTTCATATTGTCCGCACGCCAAGCATCGAGCAGCGCGGGCACGGACTCCTTACAGACAACGAAGCCGTTGTACTCGGGGTGAGCCCAACCACCGACATGAAAGGACCATCCAACCATGGCGGGCACTACGTCAATTTCCAGACGTTTGGCGATATGCTGGATACCTACGGGACAACAAAAAACAGGAGGGAGTGTTTTCAATGAGAAGCAAAATGGTATGAAAAAAACGTTATGAGAGCACCGGTTACTGTGACTATTGAACTCTTGGAACGATTTCCATTACAGTCTGGTGAAAAAGAAGGAAAAACGGGTTCGGGGAGCAAGTGTGATATTCTTAGCCTGCAAACACACGGGACTTTCACCCACCTTATCTGAACGTTCTAGAACATTCCGGCCTATGGAATTTCGGTCGCAGATTGGCTTTTTTCTTGCGCGAAAATCTCTAATATTCGAGTGGCTATTGATTTGGCTGCACGCATCAGCAAAGACATCGCAGGTGCCGATGCAATGGCACACGCTGGGTGGCGTATTCCGCGATTGGCTTGGCTTACTTTACCGCGCGTGGTTGCGTCTTCCTTTCGCCTTAGGCCATAACTCCCCACCGATTCGGTTCCCAAATAAGTCTCTAATTCTTCTGTCGCTTTCAAGCCTGTTTCCCTTGCACCCTCTCACTCTCGTGTAGACAAGTTATAGTTGGCATCAAAGCACGCGCAATGAGTATTGAACCAGTCAACAAAGGTTATTGGGTCTTACTTGTACTTGTTATGGCTGCGATCATGGCTGATCTATCCAGTCTCGATTATGTCCCGGATGGTACTTCTCCAGGGGTGAGGATCCATGGAAGCAGACCTTAACAGTTAAATCTATCCTCGTCATCAACGCCGGAAGCCGAATACCCAAAGTCCAAGAACCACTTCCATGTCCTGGCAGACTGGGTCGAAACAGGTTTTGAGCTGACCGTCTCTTTGACGTCTCCAAGTTAATAACGGAGTCCGATCGGGGACAGTAACACTGACCTCGTGAGGCTGACGACGAAGAACTTATTCAAACCACTTCAGTCGTTTTTCTTGGATGAGCTGGGATATCCTTGCGATTTTTTCGCAGGGAGTGCAGACT